AGTTGTTGTGACAGTTTACGGAGTCTTGCTGGACCCTTGTAGAAACTCACTGGAATCAATGTCGGGACAGTTTATGGGGTCTCCGGCGATGTATTCTGAAGCTGACCGTAATCAATGTCGGGACAGTTTATGGGGTCATTACATCGGTCCGACATGACCCCATAAACTGTCTTCTACATCGGTCCGACATGACCCCATAAACTGTCTTCTACATCGGTCTGACACCGCCATCCAGTGTCCTCTACAACGTTATGACACCCCCATACAGTGTCCTCTACAACGTTATGACACCACCATCCAGTGTCTTCACCAATGGTCTGACACGACCATACAGTGTCTCCTATCCTCTTTTATTTTTATGTATTTTCTTGTTTTGTTACTCTCTCCAAACTCAAGTTGGTTAGTTCCTATCCCCCTTGAGTTTGAGGGGGGCTATAAGTGTGGTTGGTAGAGTTGAGTGTGTTAGGTGAGAGTTGAGTGTGGTAGGTGAATATGTTTTTTCTCTTCTATATATAGGAGAGTCATTGTATACAAATTGAAATCAATCAATAATACAATCAATATCTATACAATTCTCTATTTCTCTTTATACATTAAATTTCTACAGGTAGCAACTGCCATTAAACAAGATACATGGTAATTGTAGTATTTAGGGTGCAACAACATCATGGGCAAACAACATTGTAGTGGCTAATATGGAGGCACAGGCGGTCGAAATGGTTGCAAAATTGTGTGCCACAAAAGACAATGCAAGCAAAAACAAAGTTCCAGAACTGAAACAACAAATATTACTCTTTAGGAAACATACCTTCAATGTGAATTAGCAAACTTAACTTCAATGGAAATCTTTGTTTTCTTAACTTTTCTTTCATTTTAAAAGTATGAAAGGACTCTTAAGAGACAATGTAAATTGTCATGCAAGCTAAGAAGCACAAATACTTATAAGAAGGTGGCATGTTTGTGTTGTTGGACAATAACACTCATCTAACACTTTCCAACAAGTATTGCATACACGTCGAAATGTGTCTTATTTTTTAAAATTTATTTTAGACTCAGACATGCTTCAGACTCATGGGGACACACGTGTTTATTGCTTAGATATGGATGACTGGAAAGACAAAAAAAGGATTTAGTTTTTGCGTAGTCCCAAGATGCTTAAGAAACATAAATATCACATAATGCAGACCTTAAAAGGCTGCATCTAAACCTCATTTGGTATGAACATCTATAATAGTCAAACCCTTTTCAGATATATTAAGGAAAAGAAGTAGGGGATTTTCATCCAAGCAACATTATCATTGCAGAGCATGCATAACGGCAAGCATATAACTTCAAAAAAGTTTCAATACCTTTAACTCTTTGGTCGTAAGCAGTTCGATCACGCATCATGAGAGCTGCCGCCTCCCCATTCAACGGGTCCGATGGGTTAGGATACAACAGAAGTTGTGGAAGGAACACTTCAAATACATTTACCAGATCTGGCAAAACATGGCTAGCAAGATCACTCTTAACTATTTAATTAAAAGGTAACTTAAAGTACTTGATTGCGTTTTTTAAATTCAAAATTAAAGAATTATTGTATAGATAAACTTATTTCCCATTCTATGTTAAAGCATGGTTAGAAATCACGTTTGTTACTTAACGCAAAACACTATCTGAACCACTACTTTTTCTCAAGTGTTTACATTCAAGTAACAATGAGATTAGCAATAAGTTTATCCGTACACTTTTGTTTAATTGTCAATAATAAAAAATAATAAAAAAAACATAATCAGGTCAAAGAGCCAAACGCAGCAATATAACTCCTTTTACCAAACATAGGGCTCCAGGTCTGATTAATGACATCTAAACACACAGAGCCTGACCTGTAATTAAATTCACCAAGATTGTCAGACATGGAAACCATTCCTCTTTCAGCAAACAAATATGGTACAGTACCCATCATAGAAAATTGTAGACTATTTTTAACATTTTACTCACATCTCATCAACATTTGGGTGGTAGATCTTATTAACAAAGCCTATTGATGGAGATTTATATGGATAAGCATCAGGAAGTTCAACCCTTATTTTCCACACACCACCATGATAAGGACCTGCCATGACCCAAATTCAGGAGAATATAAAAATGAAATTAAAAGGGAGGAAGTTAAGAAAAGTTATTTCTGCTCAAATTAAAAAACACCCATTTCCATACAACTATTAAATTTAGCAAATTGGTTGAGGACTTAAAACAAACAAGAAGTGTGCAGCAAATACAAGAAACCAAAAGTAGCTCCCCTAGAAGTCTTCCACAAGTGGTGTAACTCCCCTAGAAGTCTTCCACAAGTGGTGATCATTTTAGAGTAAAGAAGTGAAAATTACAACAAGAATATACAAGCACAATCACATATGTAGATGGTCAACAGTGCAAAATCAATAAAATATGCATCAAGATTAGCAAAGACCCACAAGAGGAAACTTCTTGACAGCTCAAATTTTCATTCAAGATGTGTACAGAACATGTGATTGAGAAATGGGTAAGAAGATTTACTGTCAGTGGGTCCATGGAAATGTACATAGAACTCTTGCATCCCATCATTGATCATCTCAACCTTGTAATCACTCATCATCCTAGTTTTTTTGAAAAAGAATTAAAAAACAAAATTCCAAAAAAATAAAACCAAAAGTACAAATTAATTCAAAAGAAACAAAGGAAAAGACAATTCAAGAGATCAATTAGAGGATTAACAATTTCATCAAGTCCATCTCTCGGCGTTTGCTTGGGGAAGACATGATTTTTTTTTTCTCTGCAATTTTTTTGCCCTTTTCGTTCGGTTGTTTGGAAACTGAGAAGAAAGAGTCAGAAAGAGAGAAGGCAGAGAAAAGCAAATGAGTTACTTGCAAGCAAAATAGTTCACTCAGTCTTCAGACATCAATGAGTGAAACTTGGAGATAAAATAGAATGTAATTGCCAATAGGTCCCTTGAAATATTGTTATTTTGTCAATACATCTATCATTTTCAAGATTACCTCTTCTACATACCTAGTGGAGGGATGGCTCTATTTGCCCTTCAAAAATTGGTTGGATACCTTATCTTAGTGATTTATTTTTATTTTTATTTTATTTTTATATTCCTATGATATGATGAGTTTATATGCATTTTAATTCAAGATGCAATAAGCATTAAAATGACTTTTGACAATAATATATTATATATATAATTGCAAGACTTTTCATGCTAAAATTCATCCAACCAAATTTGATTTTTACCCAACACTAAGAGTTTGTTATTTTTAGTTAACTTATATCCTACATATTTTTCTTACCTTTTGTTTCTTCTCTCTTTTCTTGTTTTTTATTTTGTTTTGTTTTGGTATTTTTTTTCCTACGCCGAAGCAAAGAAGGATAACTTGTTTGGCAAACTATTTTTGAAACATATGCTTTTAAAAATTAAGTTTATGAAAATAACCCAATTTTAAAACATAATACAAAAATAGTTTTTGAATTTTTAAAAGCTATACTTTTGCTCAAATATAAAACTAAGACCATCTCCAACGGTTCACCAAACTTGATATCAAATTTAAATTTTGATAAAAAAGTTATTGTTTGATGCTCTAACGGTTGCACCAAATCGATATCAAAATGAGATTTCACCAAACGATTCATCAAACTGAGGACAGGCTTCGCATTTCATCAAAACACTGTACATGACCGTTGGGGGAGACGAACCGGTTGACCAACCGGTTGTCCATGAAAAAGTTCAAACAGTTCAACATTTCTGGTTTAAACAATTTAAAAAAAAAAAAAAATTTGGCTTACCGGTCGACCGGACCGGCTGGTCGACCAACCGGTTGTCCCGGAAAGGGTTCAAACAGTTCAACATTTCTGGTTCAAACAATTCAAAAAATAAATAAAATAAAATTTTCCGCTCACCGGTCGACCAACCGGTTGTCCCGGGACAGATTTGGTGAAAAGTGAACCGTTGGAGCATCTGGTACCAAATTGGGAAAAATGGTAATTTTTTTACTCAGATTTGATAAAAAGTTTGGTAAACCGTTGGAGATGCTCTAATAAGTATTTTTTAAACTTTTCGATTTTTTTTCTATACAATAATAAAAGCGAAAAACAAAAAATTGAAAGTATAGGTTGACTTCTACCTTCATATTTTTGCAATTACTTTCACTTTTTTCTACTAATATATAATTTCTCAAATATATATATATATATATATAGGAAAGTACAACCAAAACATATATATAATTTTTTTCTTTTTAAACCCAACCTAACTAACAGACAAGCTTTTGTTTTTAACCACATTTTAGTGTTGAAAGGGCCCTTTTAATAAGTTGATAGTTATTTCACTGTCATGAAAACAACCCAACCAACATTTTTGTTTCAATCAAAAATAGAAATGGGATTTTCAACCACCAAAAAAATAGTTATCCTTTTTCTGGCTTTAAAATTTGACATATATTTCTTCATGGCACATCATGTGCCAAAGCTTGTTTGGCCTCCATGGTTTGAGAAGTCTTGAACTTGGGTTTTTATTTTATTTTTTTCACAAAAAGACAATTTTTTTGCAAAATTAACAAAAACACATCTAAATAAAATATCACATCTAATCTTACAATCATTTCATTTTTTCTCTCACAAATATCACATCTAATCACAAAAAAATCTAATTATCTTCCTAAACACAAAAAAAAAAAAAAAACTCCAATAATATCCTATAACTAAAAAAACTTACATAAAAACTCACTTCCCAAACGCCCACAAAATTTTATTGTTGAGCAAAAAGGTAATTTCAATGCAACACCACATGCCTAGCTACGGGATGGTGCCATCTGTCAACCATGATATGTTGACAAGTGTAATCCATTTACATTATTTAATTATGGATAAATTACAAATATACCCCTGAGGTCTACTTAAAATACGAACTGTCTCCAGTAGTTTGAAAAATTACAAATACCTCTCTGTCAAAATTTTTCATTTAACAGAATTAATTAAAAAAATGAAATTTCTAACTGTTCACCTATATAATAATAAAATTATCTAAATTATTAATTGAAATAAAAGTTTAATGAATAATCATTCGTAACTCGAATCTTTCTTTCCCGAATCCCCCGACTGCCCAAAACGGTTTCTTTTTTTTTTTTTTTTTCTCCTTATTTTGGAAATAAAAATATTTGAGATAAATTATATTAGTCTTTTATAAGATTCGGAGGAAATATGAGTTCCACAAATTTAACCTAAAATTATATTTTTTTAAGATTTTAATTTATATAACATTAGCTATGTTTGATTGATCGGAATCTTGAAAGGGAATGAATTTTTTTTTTTTTATTTTTTATTTTTTTTCCAGATTTTTTCAGATTTTTACATTTTTTTTTTTGTTGATCTCTATGGTGGGTTTAGAAACTATACCATTGCAGGAGATGTGGTAGTTTCTAAATATACCATTTCAGCATTTCAGATGTCATGATAATGATGATGTGTTTGGTTGATGATGACGATTCTCTCTCTCTCTACTGTGTTGATGAAGATGTATTAGGTGGTTGATGATGATGATTCTCTTTCTCTCTCTCTCTCTACTACTCTCATCTTCTCTTATTTGTTCTTCTTCTTTGTTCTTCTTCTTTTTTGATTTTTTCTTCTTCTACCAGTTATTGAAAAAAAAAAAAATCGAAACGACGTCGTTTTGAATTCGGGCCAAATTCGAGCTCGGAAATTTCGAGCTATGTAACATAACTGAATTTTAATATTATTAAAAACTGTTAATTAACTTGATGATTTATTAATAAAATGACATATTTATTATAAAATTAGAAACCTTAGAGGGCATAATATAATTTCTAAAACTACAAGAGTAATTTATAATTTAAATAAATCTTAATGAGTATATTCATAATTCACCCTTTAATTATAAAATCAAACACAATCCTATATATACAATTCTATGAATAATTTTTATAATAATAATAAATACTAATTTCGTTACACCAACACTACATTTATATTTGCATTTCTCATCATCTCTCCCAAGGTCCACAGCATGTGCAACTTTCCGTGGTACAGTCGTGGTTGAGAGCTTTAAAGGAGCTACTCTAATAGTAGCTCTAATGAGCTGGTGTGAAATATAAAATAAAAAAAAAATGATGGAGACCACTAATTAGTGGTTGTTTTAATGATGTGGTAGTGGGTCTCACTCACTGTCATATGTATTTTGTGTCTTAATTTTGTTTTGTTTTTTTTTTTTTTGCTTTCCACATCATTAGTGATGGTGTTAGTGGTAAGAATTTAATAGTCTATAGCATTGTTGTAAAATAAAATAAAAAAAAGAACATACATTACATCAGCAATTGATAGGACACACTACCAACTCATTAGAACTGATTTTAGAGCTTAAGAATTAGAGGTCTAAAACATTTTTCTTCCATCATATTAGAGAGAGCAAAATTTGCAATTATTTATGTGGTGTTTGTGTTTTTTTCCTTTAATTTTTTTTGTTCTTTTTTCAACTACAACATGGTGATTTAATGAATTGTCAATTACCGGGTTAATTTATTGGCTAAAATTCCCGCATCCCATTAGAAGTTTAGGAATTCCACTATTTTTAGTTACATGTGAATCTTACTTGAGACGTTCTTTCATGGTTAAATGTCTAATTTTATATAGTAATTCTAGTGATATTTATAATTGGTTAAAATTGCTGATCCTACATTTATTTAAAATATTTGATCATTTATTTAGTAGAAAATTTAAGTTTTATCATTTTTTCCTTTATAATTTATTTCTTACCAATTAAAAACAATAATAATAAAATGACAAAAGTATATTATAACAAATTTGTAAAGATCTATTTGGATAGTGAGAATGTGGGTTCCAGGAAATATGACAAAGAGGTAGGGTACATGCAAATTTTTTTTTTTTTTTCTTTTTTTTAATCTTATAAGATCATTGTGCCATCCAAGAGGAACACAACTAAATAAATACTGTAAATAAATTTGTTTGACTAATATGCTAAAAGTATACATTATAGAAGACACCCACTACAACTATAGCATACCTCATATTCATTGCATTATTTTTAAAAATTAAAAAAAAATTTATACAATTTTTAGGAGAAGAAATTATGTCATAATTGGAAGACTCAAATTAAGGCATTTCGATAAATGAATATTTGAATTATTTGCTTGAAATGAACAAAATATTAGGTTCATGATAGTATTAGAATAACATCAATGGAGTAGTTGTTGTGGCAGTGTTCTAATTTGATTCAAACTTTCCATACATTGGCAAGAGTTACATTACACAATACAGGTATGTTGTTGAGATGATATGCTATACTTTTTTACTTATTAATTAACATGTGGTAAGAAGTAGGGTTGAAGTTTGATGTGATCGAACACTTAGCACCAAGGCCAAGCACAAAGTGATTTCTCGGATCCCACTTTTACCACACGTTAATTAATGATTGGATACACGATGCCATTTCAACCAAGTAACATATACGTTATACAAAAAACTTTTTTGTGCTTTTCCATGGAAAATTTGGATTAGTAGATGAGATACTTTCTTATTGCGTAGGATATTGTGTTTAGTCGCTTAATATATGGGTGTAAATTCGGCCAAGCCCGACCTCGGGCTTATCGAGCACCCGTCAAAAAATCGAGTCGGGTCGCGCTGACCCATTTCCTAAAAAATTAGGTCCGGGCCCAAGGGACAATCAAGCCTCGGGTGGGCCGGCAGGCCTGACTTATTTATTTATTTATTTATTTATATTTTTCTTACCAAAATAGCTTGAAAATGACGTTGGGTGTTGGGGAGCCAGGCCTTGAGTCGAGCCTCAGATCGGGCCTGGATAGGGCCAGCGGGTTGGGCCAAAAAAAGCATGGTCTAGGCCTTAACTCAGGGATTCAGGCCTTGGGCCTCTG